GTATATCCCCCCCCCAAAATAATAATGATAATAAGAGATGGAGAAATGGATTCTTGCAAATCCTGTTGCTTCTCTGGCCAGCAATTTGGCAGTATCTGTAAACATTGCTCCCCATTTACATAAAAGGTGGGCAATTACCAGAATAGTCATCTCAGCATTGCTTGCAGCAACCCAATGTGGGTTCCACACTATGGAATACAATTTAGCCTTTACAAAAGGTAGTAGTCATAGCAAGATAGAACTGGGAAGGAATTCCAACTGACCAGTATGTGTATTGCTTTGGAAAGATTTCCAAGACCGTTGTTAAGGAGACAAAAACAGTCTGGAATATGATATGTACAGCAAACAAAACGAAACTCTATGAGAATAAAATAGAAAAAGACCTGGAAGTTTGGTGACCAAGAATTCCCCTGTAGAGAGGGGAGAGGGAGAGGGACTGAGCTGATGGATTTTTTTATTGTGGTATTTGAGTTTTTTTTTAAATAAAGGGTATGAATTCTTCTGAAATTATACACACACACATATACATTTCTCTGTATATATTTTTTCTTTTTCTTTTTTTGTGGGGCTGAGGATTGAACTCAGGGCCTCACACATGCTACACAAATGCTCTACCATTGAGCTATATCCATTCTCAGTCCTATTTTTTAATAAAATGCATTCACTAAAAGCATTTAAGTCAGGATTTAGAGATATATTCACCATTCGATAGCTATTATAATTGTACATAAAGGCATAAAAATGCCTAAGTTCAATAGTTAATAAAAATAAACATCTCATAAACTACATCATTAAAATGTCCAAGGATCCGTTAAAATAGTCTGTCAAACTGGGTACGGTGGTGTGGTGGTGTATGCCTGTAATCCCCGTGGCTTAGGAGTCTGAGGCAGGAGAATCACAAGTTCAAAGCCAGCCTCAACTGTGGGAGGCCATCCTCGCACATGATTTGAGTTACCTCCCTGGCTGGGTGAGAGGCACTTAGACACAGCTGTGTCAGAGCTATTCCCCACCCTTCTCCTCTGCTTGTCCGTGCAGAGGCGTGCCTGGCCACTGCCCCGAAGACCCAATCGTCGCCCCTGACCTTGGGATGCTGCCCCCCCCTTAACCTTCACTGGATGGGATTTTCCCTGGAATTTTTTGTTCCCCAATAAAAATCCACTCCCTGGCGTGTTCTCTCTTTCTCGCTAGTCTCTTCTGTAAACCCCGCTACAGCATTAGGTGGCTGGAGGCAGGAGCTAGGAGAAGCCATCTAGGAGCTGGTGTTAAAGGCAATAAGAGTCTCGTCTCCTTAATTTAAAACTCCCTAGCATTTACTCATGAATCGAACCTTCTTTTATGAAGCCAGCGCTGGTCACATGGCAGACTCAGCAACTTAAGGAGGCCCTAAGCAACTCAGTGAGACCCTGTCTCAAAATAAAAGATTAAAAGGGTTCTGGATGTGTCTCAGTGGTTAAGCACCCCTGGGTTCAATCCCTGATAATGAAACAAACAAAAACAAAAAGCTTAGTTTTAAATATAATTGTTATATTTATATAGAAGAAATAGAAACATGTTTATATATAGAATTGTTATATTTTTATATAAAGAAGCCTACTTCTTTTCTTGCTTTCCTCTTGCAATTTCTCCACCCCCAAAACCCAACCCTAAAAGCCCCTCTTTCAAGACACCTTTAAGTCAGCTACCTCTTCTTCTTTTGCTGGACACACTCCTCAAACTCTCACACTGAGAAAGGAGGCTGGCAAGTTCAAGGCCATCTCTATCAACTTGTCAGCTTTGTTCACTTTTCCAACCCTTCATCCCAGGTGCTGGCATTCTGAGTATGTCTCCAGCCCTAACAAGTCTTTCCTTCTTCTTTCCATCTATTTCACCTCACTGACAAGACTATCTTGAGACATCGCCTCTGGCCAGTAGATGACAGAAGTCTCTCAAGTTCCCCACCTCTTCCCACAACTTTGCTGAATCTAACCATCATTCACTTAATAAATCTTTATCAGTGGGCTGAGGATGTAGCACAGTGGTAGACCACTTGCTTAGTAGTGCAAGATCCTGGGTTCAGTACTGGGGAAAAATCTGTATCAAGTAATCTGAAACAGATTTGGTGTGTGTGGGGGGTGGTGACAGAAAAAAAAAAAAAAACAGTTCCTGATCTTAGGCAATTTGGTAAGACACAATAATGAAAAATGACAAATGTAGTGTAATGTTAGGCAGATGTCAGTCCATGTAGTGGGAGGAGGGGAAGAACATAGTGTGTGTGTATCTAAATCCACCCAAATGGATGGGTCAGGTGCCCAGTGCCCTGAGGAGGCCAGATACCCCACCTCCTGCCCAGGGCAAGCCCAATCACCTGATGGACCCTTCTCTACTTCCAGAGAACACTACTCAGTAATGATTCCCTTCTCAAATTGCCTTTTTCTTCATTCTTTCCCTACTCTGCTTCTCCTTCTTGGCATATAAACATCTTTAGGATTTTCTCATCTCTTAAAACCTCCCCCATCTAGTCTGTTCCTCTCTAGACTCTACCTTATATCTTTGGGGAAGGGAACTTTAGGGGTACCTCAACACACAGCTGGGAATAAGGGAATTAGATATATATTTCCCCAGAGGACAATGTGACATCATGTATCAAAGACCTTAACAGCAGGACATTGTGGTACACAGCGACTCCGGACTAAGAAAGGAGGCTGGCAAGTTCAAGGCCATCTCTATCAACTTAGTAAGACCTTGTCTCAAAATTTTAAGAAAGGCTCAGAGTGCAGCTCATTGGTACAGTACTTGCCTAGCAAGTCCAAGCCCCTGGTTACAATCCTCACCACTAGGAGGAGGAGAAAAAAAAAAAAAAAAAGCCAGACCAAAGAAGTGAAAGCAGGGACTCAAACAGATACAAGCCAGGTGTGGTAGCACATACCTCATAATCTCTGCAATTTGGAAGGTTGAGGCAAGAGGATCACAAGTTTGAGGCCACCCATGGCAATTTAGTGAAACCCTGTCTCAAAATAAAAAATTAAAAGGCATGGGGACATAGCTCAGTAGTAGAACTCTCCTGAGTTCAGTTCCCAGCATGGCGGAGAAAAAAAAAAAAGCTCAGATACTTGTATAATAATGTTCATAATAGTATGATTCACTATAGCCAAAAGGTAGAAATGACCCAAATGTCCACGAGCAGATGAATAGATAAACCAAATATGGTATATACAGTCAGTGGAATATTATTTAATCTTAGAAAGCAACGAACTTGATGGACACAGTGGCATATGCTTGTGGCATATGCTTATAATCCCTGCTACTACTTGGATAGTTGGAAAAAGAGGTTCAAAGCCAGCCTGGGCAACATAGCAGATCTCATCTCAAAAAGAAAAGAAAGAAAAAGAAAACTGGGGTTGGGGGAGAACAAATATTACATGATTTCTCTTAAGTGAGCAAAATCGAATAGGCAAATTTACAGATAAAAAACAGACTAGAGAAAGAGGAGGAATGGGGAGTTACTATTTAATAGGTGCAGCAAATGGACAGTAGTCGTGATGGGTGCATAATGTTGTGGATGTATTCAATACCACTGAAGTATACATGTTAAAAAGTTTTAACTCGACATGTATACATGTTAAAAAAAATATCCAGTGCTGGGATGAAAAAAAAATTTTTTCAGGGGCCTCAAACATGCCAGGAATCCACTCTACCACCGAGATACACTTTCAGCTAAAATTGTAAATTTTACATTATGAGTAATTATCATATTTAAAAAAAATCGCAAGTTCAAAGCCAGCCTCAGCAATTTAGCTAGACCCTGTCTGTAAATAAAATATATAAAAAGGGCTGGGGATGTGTCTCAGTGTTTAAGTGTTCCTGGTTTCAATCCCTAGTACCAAAAACAAACAAAGGGTTGGTGGTGTTGCCCAATGGTTAAGCACCCCAACGATCAATCCTCGGGACCACACACACACACACAAAAAAGGAAAAATAGTCCATCATAAAACAAAATCCCCCAGCATGTCTTTAGAAAAAAAAATAAATTGGAAAAATTCTTATAAGTTGAAATTTTTCTTTTTTTGGTTCCTGCTTTTCTTGGGCCTTAAGACTGCGCTGAATCTTTGTCCCTGAAGTGCTTTCCCGAAATTATCAAGGTCCCACACTATCTGGACCGCACTCTTCATGCACTGGATGACAAATAACTTGTCTCCTTGTATGTTTTCCTGACTAATACAGAGCTGAGGGCGCTCTACTACTGAATTACATCTCCGACCCTTTCCTTTTTTATTCTGAGACAGGGTCTCCCTGAGTTGCTCAGGTTGTCCTCAAATTTGCGACCCTTCTACCAGCCTTCCAAGCAGCTGGCGTGCTCCGACTCATAGAGGAATTCTTGGGAGATCAGAAAGACCAGACCTAACTGATCCCACTATCCTAGAATTTGGAGCACGTTGCAGAGGAGTAATGAATCCCATCAGCCCGGAAGCGGGAAACCTCTTTACCCAGTAGCGCCAACCAGAGAAAACCTTCCAGAAGGGAAACCACGCCCCTTTCTCAAACACCTCCCTCAACTCACTCCTCCCCTCTTGGCACTGCCTCTTTTCCCGACAGCCTAAGGCCCCGCCCACCAGGCGTGCCATGCAGGGAGGGCCACGATCCCGCCAACAATGACTCCGCCCCTCTTTCCTCTGAGAAACCTGTCCCTTTTATTTAAAGAATACGTTTACGTCAGCCCGCCTTACGTAGCTTTGCGTCATCAGTGTAAGGCGCGGAGGAGGGACTTCCTGTCCCTAGTTTAACAGCTTCCGGGAAAGGCCGGAAGAGACCGGACCCTGAGCAAAATTGAGGATTGCTCGCCCCTCCCCCGGCCCGAACGGGAAGACGAGTCCAGGGGTTGTCCTGGTGAAGTCAAAACATTTAGCCTGGACTTTTCAGGTGAGGACCTTCTTCCTATCCAAGCATAGTACCAGTCCAAGTTCCTTTTAATTTCCCATGACTCCCCGCGCCCTCAAGCCCCGCCCCTAGTTCCCCAGCCCCGCCCCGAAGTTTGAGGGGTGTGGACGGTTTGTGACCCCTCTCCATCATCGACTGAGAGATCTGGGCTTGAGCTCTGCGGCCTGGACCCGGTAGCCCTTTGGCTTCTGGGCTCATGGACTTCACTCCATTGCCGCGAAAATAAGACCGCCCAGACGCGGAGTCTGCCTCAGAAAAGGCAGGGTCCGGGACCCCTCCTTACCGTGGTCAGGGTGGCTCACAGGCTGAGGAGAAAGCAAAGGCCTCCGAGGCAGAAGACTTGGGATCCTACCCGGCCCTTCCCCACGACAGTTCCCTGTGTCTGTGCCAGTCGTTCTCGTCTCTCTCCGCCGCAGTTTCCTTTTCTGTAAACCACGGTTAATGGCATTAACCTTCTTACTGTCGGGGGTTAATTGTGGGAGTGATACATAATTCCTACCATTTGTTTATTGAACATTTGCAATGTGCCAGGCACTGTGCTGATTATTTTGCTTCAATGATTTCACGTCATCTTCAAAACAACCTTATGAGGTAGGTACTATTTTTAACCCATTTTACTGGTGAGAAGGCTAAGTCTCTGGGAAAGATGATCGAGGTTACATGGCCAGTAAGAGACAAGATTATAGTTTCGTTTTGTTTTCTGACTTCAGGGTCAGTCTATTAAGTCAGGATGTGTAAACTCTTCAGATGTTGATATGTTCCACAACTCTTTTTGAAGTAACTACGGTGGCATTATGCTAGGCTCTTAAGTACAAAGAGAAAAATACATGTGAGCCTTGTGTTCTAGAAGTCTAATAAATGGACCGGTAGATAAGTATAATGAAATTTTATAGGTGCTGTGAGAATAGTCTGATAATGATAATCGTCAGATGGATTTGCCCAGGGACAGCTGTGAAAACAGATTCTCCAAGGGAAGAAGTAGGTATTCCAAGGACCAAGCAGAAATCCTTCCCGTGTAAGAAACTGCAGAGTGAGAACCTTCACAATATGAGAGACTGAGTTAGTGATAGTGAGAGCTGTTGTGGAATCATTTCCAAATCAGTTACATGTAGACAGCGGTTTTTGCAGTTGTGAGCCCTCAGTGACCCAGAAGGGTAGTGTTTCTGATGTTTGTCCCATACGATTTCCCCAGGGCCTGTCAGAGAATTTGAGAGGAGGCAGAGTTACTGTTTGCTTATGGCTCCTAAAGAATTGTCCCTTTAGGGTAATCTAACTCTTCTGTTGACAGTAGATTAGTTTTCTTTGGCCCCTGACATTTGGGTATGAACTGTGACAATGAAAGAGATGGGGCTCTTATGAGACAGTCCAACAAGGGTGACTGTATAACACCTCCAGAGGAGCTCCAAAATAAAGTATTTCAGGCTTTTTAGTCTCTCAGAAGTTAAGTTGGAGGCTGTTTAAGGGGCATATTTGCTTGACTAAGTGTTAGAAATCCTAGAGAAACTCCAAGTTCAAAGAAGCAAATGTTTTACCCATCAACGACCAAAAGAAAAAAGAAAAAAAGCAGTTGCAGGAGACACAGCAGCAAGGTTATGAGGCTTTCCTCATAGGGTAATGATGAGAAGGCTGATGATCTGTGCTCATTGTGGGCATGACATCTGTGAGCTAGTTTTCTAATAGCGCCCAAGGCCAAGTCCTTAGCTTGAGGTTGGAAGTCTAGAGTACAAAGTGAAATACATGTGATCCTTGTGTAGGTTTGTCGTCCCCCCCACCCCAGAATATTGAACTCCACTTATTTTCAGGACTGGCTTAGTTCAAAACTTAAACTAGGAGCCTTATTGCAACCCCTCTGGCTCTGCTGATGCTATTCCCCTTTGTTCCTGCAGCGTGGACCCAGTCAGCAGCCAGACCATGGAGCTCCCTGATGTCACCCTCATTGAGGGTGTGGGTAATGAGGTGATGGTGGTGGCAGGTGTGGTGGTGCTGATTCTAGCCTTGGTCCTAGCTTGGCTCTCTACCTACGTAGCAGACAGCGGTAGCAACCAGCTCCTGGGCACTATTGTGTCAGCAGGCGACACATCCGTCCTTCACCTAGGGCATGTGGACCAGCTGGTGGCAGGCCAGAACACCTCAGAGCCTACCGAACTTCCCCATCCATCAGAGGGTAATGATGAGAAGACTGAAGAGACTGGCGAAGGTGGAGGAGACTCCACAGGGGAACCTGTTGCTGGGGGTGGTGTGGAGTCCAGTCTTGAGCATCTCCTTGACATCCAAGGCCTGTCCAAAAGACAAGTGGGCACAGAGAACAGCAGTCCAGAAGCCCTGCTGAGATCTGAGGATAGCACCTGCCTTTCTCCCAGCCCCAGCTTCATCAACGTTCGGCTTAAGTTCCTCAATGATACTGAGGAGCTGGCTGTGGCCAGGCCAGAGGACACTGTGGGTGCCCTGAAGAGGTGAGTGGGTTGAAAAGTGGGAAGCTGCTCATGTCCCATGTCCCAAGGCTTTGCGTCCTCTGAGGAGACTGGTGCAGAATTGAGAGCAGCAAGGGGTCATAAAATTTGGCCCCTACCAAGGGTGGAGAGGAGACTTCCTTAGAAATCTACTCATCAGTTTTTCCCTTTGCCCACCTTTGTTGGTCCAGGCCTGTTTGCCCTGTTATGCCTCAGCCTCTCTTTCTTTTTCATCCTTTCAGCAAATATTTCCCTGGACAGGAGAGCCAAATGAAATTGATCTACCAGGGCCGCCTGCTACAAGATCCAGCACGCACACTGCGTTCTCTGAACATTACTGACAACTGTGTGATTCACTGCCACCGTTCACCCCCAGGGGCACCTGGTACAGGCCCCTCAACTTCTCTGGCACCCTCGGCCACTGAGCCACCCAGCCTTGGCATCAGTGTGGGCAGTCTCATGGTGCCCGTGTTTGTAGTGCTTTTGGGTGTAGTCTGGTACTTCCGGATCAATTACCGTCAGTTTTTCACAGCACCTGCTACTGTCTCCCTGGTGGGTGTCACAGTCTTCTTCAGCTTCCTCATATTTGGGATGTATGGACGATAAGGACATAGGGAGAAAATGAAAGGCATGGTCTTCCTCCTCTATGGCCTCCCCACTTTCCTGGCCAGAGCTGGGCCCAAGGGCCTGGGAGGGAGGGGTGGAAAGGATGTGGTGGGCACCCCATCCATAAGACACAGGAGGCAGGTGTGGGGCCTCCCCTTATGTCCACAGGGGTACAGACATTCCCCCCTGTGCAAGCACAACTCAGGTAGAAACAAGGATGTCACCTTCATATACTTTTAGAATCCTGAAGGAACTCAGAGCCAAAGGCCAAGCTGAATGGAAAGGCTAGGCTTTGAGTCCCTCCCAGCTGTGGCCCTAGCCCTTCCCTGTATCTTGCATGTCTATCCCTCAGCACCCAAGGCCACTGCCAGGGCAGCTCAGCATGACCCCTGGCATACTTCTGTAGGGATCCTGGAGTATCCTTTCATTCCTTAGTCAAGTGTCTTTTGAGACAGGGATGAAGGTTGTGCCAGCTCACCCTACAGGCACCTAGCTGCTTCCACCTCCTCCCTCTACCCCTGTAGCAGGAATAGGGTGTTCCCCCTTTTTTTCAAAGCACTTTTTTTTTTTCCTTTTTTTTTTTTTTTAAGAGTCTTCTACAGAGCTCAGTCAGGAAGGGGGTTGGGGCACAAGGCCAAGCCCCTAGCATTGGGAGAGGCTAGGCCACAGCTGCTGCTACCCTAGGCCTAAGGCTGTAAGCAAGACAGCACTGGCTTTCAGCCAGCATCCTACCCTGACTTCCAAGGACGAATTCTGGGTATGCTTCACTCAGCCCTGGGCCCTTGCCTCTGGGACACTTGGACGGAGGGTTAGTGTCTAACTAAATAAAAGTTCCATTTTGTGGCTATGGAGCCTCTTTCTGTGACATTGAGAATGGCTTTGCTCTGCCCCCAGCACATGGTAATGAGGGTGGGTAGGCCAAGCTACCAACGGGAGATGCAGTTTATTTACACCAGCAGCCATGGGGGCAGAGAGAATACACAGCGTTTACAAAGTTAGCTACCTGTACAGGATGGATTACATATGCAAAAATAAAAATCTCAAGACCACAGGACAGCGTGAGCCCCACCCCCCTCCCCCAATGACCCCAGCATGCGGTAATGCCAGGCGGGTGGCCCCTGGGCATGCGGGGGGGAGTGATGCATGGAAGGAAAAGCCACCGGCCATGGAAATTAGTACAGAACCCCCCCACACACACTCAGACACATGATAGGATACAGGGCGGACAACACCTAGCCGGGGCGGGGAGGATGGGAATTGAAACCCACATAGCCTGCTGTTAGAGGGAGGGGGCGGGGAGCTCCTAGCCCCTGTTCAACTACATGGTAGGGGGGGGCACTCTCCCCAGAAGGGAAGGGGTTTGCTCCCTCAGGGTCCCTGCTGGACCAAGCCCATCTCTTACCCAGCCTGGGCAGGGGGCTCTGCCCTGAGGGTGGGCCAAGGAATAATGGGGAAGGTTATGTGGATAAACCAGTTCCCAAACTACTCCCCACTTCTCCCTCCTCTGACCAGAGGGGGAAAGCAGGAGGCCAGAGGGGAAAGGGTATGTTAGGGCCTGAGCTACAGCTGCCTCTCAGAAGGGAGAGTGGCCCTAGGCCTTCCTCCCTTCACCTTCAACCAACTCCCAAAACTTCATTTGGAAGTGGCTGGAGGCCTGCTGAGATCCTCCTCACCCTCTGGCTTCCCCTTAGAGGGAAAAGGCTGTGGAGGGCCAAGACCAGAGGAGCCCAGGCCCCAGGATTTATTCTAACTCCTGCCAAAATTGGTTTGGCTTTTTAAAAAATAATCACAATGCTTGGGTTAAAAACCAATTCGTAACCAGGCATCAGCCACAATCAGAACCACCCCAGGGGGAGACTGGGGTTCCAGACAGGGTATTGCTGCCCTATCTCTGTTGTTCCCTTAACCCTCTAGGGTCCCTAACCCAAATCAGTCCAACCAGTCCTGGGTACTAGCTACCCAAATGTGGGAGTGGCTCCTCCTGGGAGAAGGGCAGGGGACATGTCCAGCAAGTGCCAGATAATTCGGCTCAGGGTCAACTCCATCCCTGTGTCAGTCAGCTCTGCTCCCAGCCCAGATTGCAGTCCTCCAGCTCGGCTCCTGGGGGTGGTGTTGCCCGCGTGGAGGTGGGACGGTACATCTTTTCAGGATGTAGACCAGGCAGGTGGGCACACTAGCTTGACAGTCCCAGAGAGGCAATGATACCCCTTCCCTCTCCACTGACAATCCAGGGCACAGAGACCACCCTCTTCCCACCCTACTCCTAGCAAAGGGGAGAGGCACAAGATTAGGATTTTCCTCAGAGCCCCAAACCACAAATACAGAATAAATAACTTAAAAGCGGCGAAGGAAGGGGAAACAGGGCAGGCTTTGGAGGCAGGAGCATTGAGAGGAACTGAAGCTGGTCAAGGTGAAGGGGTGGCAAGCAGCAGCTGGGAACTCAGGCTGCCCCAGCAGGGCGGTGGGGCAGGGTGGGCAGGAGGAACATGGGGCCACCCCAGGAGGGTGAGGCTGGGCCCCTTCCTGGGGCAGGGAATGAGGTAAGAAAACATTTCAAATAAAGCAGCACCGTTCCCTCTCACCTTGGGGCCCCACTCCTCACCAGCCCTGGGTCAGGGAGGGATTGAAGGGGGGAGTTATTTTGATACGCAGCTCCCTCCTCCTATCCTCCCCTTCCCATTCCTTGAAGCTGTAGAGGCTGGAGGCCCTTTCCTGGCACCCAACAACAAAAGGACAGCTCCTGCTGCCAAGGAGGCCCACGGGGATTGAGGGGAAAGGGCTGCCCTGTGAGGCAGGGAAGGCGGCGGCAGTTCTGGACGCCTACCTCAGCAGACAGCACTCTGTGCCTGCCACCCCTGGGACTGGGGGCACTTGATAGGATGCTGCACACAGACAGGACACACCCAGCCCTGCCCCTCAGCTCCAAGCACCGGACCCATTCACATTGCTGAGGGCAGCCAGGGGAGGCCCCCTCCAGGCTCAGCTTCTAACCCACAGCCTCCCGGGTAGCTACAGTGCCCCTCGGCAGGGCTTAGTCCAGTTCCTGGGGTGGGGGACAGGCAGTGCACTGGCACAGTGCCCAGATCAGGCCCCTGGCCTAGCTGGACATCCAGTAACTCACAGAATAAATAGGAAAACTGCCTCCCCACCAAACTTATGTCCAAGGCATAATAAGTCCAGGTCTGAGTCCTGCACGCCGAGGGGTCGTGCTCTATTGCAGAGGACCCTGACACCCCCCAGGGGTGCATAAATGGATCCTCTGCCTGCCTGGCCCACCAAACTTCCCAAGCCCAAACCCCCAACAGCCGTCCATTTGCCAGGCTATGCCACCTGGGTGGGGGTTGGGAGAGAGGGCTCTGCTCAGCCAAAGGCTATCCCTTGCACCCAAGTCAGTTGATGTCATCATAGATGCTGGGCGTTGGGGGTGCCGGTGGCTTTGGCTTCTTCTTCTTATTGGAGCCCAGGCCAGAAGCAGTCCCTACCAGGCTCAGATGGGATTTCTTTTTCTTGGTTTTCCTTGACTCGGAGCTGTTGGTACCTGCAGAGAAAAGTTACAAGGGATGACAATAGGGCTGTGGCAAGAGAGGTGTCAATCGGTTGAGTGTGGACAGAAAATTCCTGGGACCCAACTGTATCACATACCTAGACCCCATCCCTGATTTTCACTAGTCTTGGAGGAGCCTGAATCAGAGGGTGAGAGATCAGAGGAGCCGTCCCACTGAAGCCGGCTGATCAGGGCCTGGCTGTCAGTCATGTCAAAGCTGTCATTATCCAGGGAGCTCTCAACCTCCGGAAGGACTCTGGAAAGAGAAGGCGTCAAAAAAGGGTTTTAGGGATAACCATCACCATCCTAACCTGCTACAACCCACAACCTTCTGAAAGGATCACTTACGCTGAGGGCCCGAGGAAATAAATCCGCACAGTTCGCCTCTGCTCATCCGTATGCTGGGGGCAGCGCAGAGACCTGGTGGGGACATAATTATCAGACCCTGACAAAATAGGGAAGGACCTGAGGAACTCAGGGAGAGCCCCTCCCCTCAGCAGAGGCCAAAAGGACAGGGAAGGGGTAAGTGGAGAGACCCCAGATGGAAGCCTAAGGCCTGATCATTGAAGGAAGGGAGGGAAAGGGCGGGAGCCCCACTGCTCAAGTCCAGGGGTACTCCTGACACATGACCAGCATGAGTGTGCAGGAGGGGCCCCAAACCCCTTTCTAGGTTCTGTGCTCACCTTGTGCACATCTTCTTGGTGTGTTCAGAAATCACCCCACATTGCTGGAAGAGGAATATAAGCTGAAAGGAGGGATGGAAGGAAACCTACTCTAGATACTAGATGCTCCCTTCTGCATCAAGGATAGACTGCACAAGCAGAAATGGCCCCAGGGTGTCAATACAGTCCAGACCTCTGTGGGCCAGGAAACCTACTTCTAGAGTAAGAATTCTATGGCTCTAACTGCTGTCACCAGCCTCCTCCAGGGTCTTGACCTGTCTGTGACTCCAGCCCACTCCCAACAGCCTCCCCAGCCCCAGTTCCTCACCGTGGTGAGAAGGCTTCGCAGCTCCTCTGGCCCCAGGGTCTCATAGCTGATCCCAGTTGAGTTGCTATACTGTGAGAACCAGAAGTGCAGGTCAGAGAAGTAAAGAAGCCACAGACAAAAAGGGGGCACAGAAACTGGGGATGTACATCAGTGGTAGAGCACTTGCCTAGCACATGTGAGGTACTGGATTCAATGCCCAGTAAAATACACACACACACACACACACACACACACACACACACGAAGGAGCAGAGGATTAGTCCCTCCTATTCCTGCCTCTGTGATAGAACAGTTTTTCCCATTGAGTCCTTTCATTCCACCTGTACACATATAAGGGAGTGGGACGCAGAAAGAATAAACACAAGATTCAAACAGCCCAACTAATGCTTCTGGCTGTCAACATTCTGATCCTACTTATCCAAATCCCAGCCACCTCGTAAAGACAATGAGGAAGAGCATAAGGGGGGCAGCCTATACTCACCTTAAAAGGATCCGAATTGCTAAGTTCCCCTGAAGAAGAAAAAAGAAGGGGAAGGGTGTTTGATGCAGAGGTACAGACAGAGAACCCTGAAAATAACCAGAGAGGAAGTGGGGGTGACAGAAGGATCATAGGCCCTCCCTCCACACCCCTATCCCCCACCTCTCCCTCCACCCCAGCCCCACAATGAATCCCAGAAGACACAGCTAGCAGCAACCCTGTTGCTCCAGCCCCACTTACCATTTTTGTGTTTTAAAGACTTGGATCTTCGAGGGGAATTGGGGTTCTGGAATGGGAGATACCATAGCTTTGGGGAAAGGGCAACGATAAGGGGGAGCCGAGAACCCAGGGAAGGAAAAAAGATTTGACAAAGAATATCCTCAAATTCCTACTCTTCTCCCCCATTAAGAGGCCTGTCTGCCTATTATTTCCTCCCCCATGCCAAGGCCTCTGTTGCCTCCCTGCCCACCACAGACACACCCTCATCCCCAAACCCAGAGGTGACCAGTGACCTCAGACTTGAGTCAAGACACCTGAGGACTCCCTGCCCAAAGGGGAGGGTATCTGTCCTTCACCCAAATTTCCCCCATGCTCGCCCCGGCTCTCACCTTGTCTGATTTTCTTTTCTTGGCTGTGAGGGTGAAAGGATATAAAGCAAGGTTACTTTAAAAAGTCTTCAATCTAAGACTATTTTTAAAAAATGCAAAAACACACTCCCCCCCTTATTTATAACAGTAATTATGATCAACGTATACTCAATTCCTGCTTGTCCACCTCATCCCAGTGTCCCCCAAGACTCCCCAGGTCCCCAAACACCTTTCTTCTCCGAGCCATAAGAC